CACCGGTGAACGGGGTTAAAGGTGAAACATTAGCTACAGGCCAAAGAAGTGGGATTCTCCCTGCACTGCTACATCTGTCCTTAATTTGACTCTGTACTTCCAGCACACTGCAAACAGATCGATACACTGAGGATATGGGTCTCTGTTTGGGCATTGGTTTGACATTGAGGGCCAAGAACAATGCTCTTTTTTCACAGCTTCGGTCTCCTGAAACTGAATTAATAAAATGTAGCATGGCTGGAGACCCCACACTTAATAGCTTTTGCTACAGCAAAGATGATTAGCGTGAAGTTGCTAAGCACTCCTACAGAAGCGTTAAAACCTGCATGTGATTGTATCAAAGCCGAAACAGACATCCATCAATCAGTTTGCCCTGCTAATTTATGCTGCAGTTGAGCATAGAGGACAAAGCAACGGAGGAAATCATGCTACATTATGAAGAGAGGCTGGATGGAGAGATCAGTGACTTTAAAAGTCTGCAGAGAGCTGGCAGTGATTAAACTTCATGAGATTGAGGTGAGCATGAGGTGAGTGGTGGCTCTGGCACTGAAACCCGCTCACTTACAGTGCACTGCAAAATGTTTCAATTTTCTACCATTGCTGTTTTAAAAATAACATTTATGTTATTATTTCCAAAACATCTACTCCCTTTTCATGTCATGTTAGCCATACCGGCTTTTACTCTGATGTCTCATCCGTCAGCGAGGTACAAAAATAGCAGGAATTAGAATCCCATCACTGTTCATCTGCTCCCTTCCACTCATGTACAGTATGTGGCATGAGTGGTCCCACATCATATGTCCTTAATGCATGTGGATGTGTGTGTGTGTGTGTGTGTGTGAGTGAGCAAAAGAGACAGGCATACATGCTCTGAATGTTTATTGTGTACATGTGTGTCATCTTGGCCTGCTTTTAAGTTCATTCACATTAAGTTCCTGTCAGTGCAACGAGTCTCAGAGGAGCTATATGTGTGTGTGTGTGTGTGTGTGTGTGTGTGTGTGTGTGTGTGTGTGTGTGTGTGTGTGTGTGTGTGTGTGTGTGTGTGTGTGTGTGTGTGTGTGTGTGTGTGTGTTGGTGTGTGTTTGCGTAAGACAATGCCCTCTGAAACCTTGAGTGCAGCTGAGCAAATACACAAAGATGAGACAAGAGGACTAGCGGTAATGTCATGGAAAATGTACTTTGTTTGACTATAAAGTAAATGCATTGCATTGGAAATCCATCAAACAAATACAGGAATAACCCAAATTTAATTTGCTGGGAATCATCAACACATTGGCTTCTAAGTGTGTGTGCAGCAGTGTGTGTTCTGTGGCTGATGTGGGTCTGTTATGAATACACTGCACTGTGAAGCTTTGCCTAGTGCAATAACACCTGTCACATCACATGTTTATTTTATTAGCGTTTCTTTTTAATGACTGATTTTAAATGCCATTTTCTTAATGTCTGTCATTTTTTGTAAAGCAATTTGAATTGCCTTGTGTTGAATAGGGCTATATAAATAAACTTGCCTTGCCTTGTGACAGGCAGCTGGCAGACACATCTCTGAACACACTGACTGACAGTCCCTATATTACTGATGCCATATGAGAGGCACACCATAAACTCACAGCTGAATAGCTACAACAGAAAGTGGGTAAGTATAGGATACAATAAAAGCTCAAAAACGGCTTTGTTAACTCAGTATATCATTAAAAGGGGGCTTTTTGGGGTTGACCCAAAGTTGGGGAAATCCCAAAGTTCCATAGATGACTTTGAAACCCATCATTTCATCTCTAAATAAGATAACTAACACAGTGACAGAATGGTATAAGAAAATGCGATCACAGTGGAAAGATCATTTCTAGATGTTGTCTGAGGACAATTCTTGTTTTGAGACAATAACATCATGAGAGACCATAGTAACAGGGATTGAATTGTTATAACATGCTCAAGTATGAAATGTATCCAGTGAGAGAAGATTTATTGTTGCGCTGTGATGCATTCGTTCCACCGCTCAGTGCTCTAATTCCCCAGGTCCCTTCATGTTTTCAAAATGGGAGAGAATCTCCTCACGTTAAAACACTGCCAGGAGCCTAATCCAAAAGCGATATGTTAACATATGCAAGCGCTGATCATCTATAGGACCCACGCTGCCGAGACAAAAGAGAAGAGCAATCCTCTGATTTGGCTGCGGTGAGTGGGAATTGAAAATGACTCACGTCTACATGACGGCGCTGCTGTGCGGTTGTAAAATTGGATGAATCCATTTCTACATTTTTAACACATTGTCAACGCTCGAATGAAGAATGCGACAAAAGCTCGCAAATGTCCTACTGTAACCATTTAAGGTCATTAGCTTAGTGTTTAAATGCAATGTTATTACTACGGAGAGGCTCTCTCTAAAATGTGAATACAATCATGTGACATTTTCAGAAATTGTATAAGCAATCAAAAGCCTGGTCCTCTTAAACCAGGGGAGTCAAACTCAATTTCTTCGCGGGCCACATTAGCATTATGGTTGCACTCAAAGGGCCGGTTGTAACTTTAAGACTATATATAAAAATACATATATAAATATTTAATATATATAAAATAATGTATTATATTACATTATTGCCTCTGCATTGGATTATAATCGGATAGGGTAATAACTTCATAATTAACTATACGTCTGAAAGCAGAAGTCTAGGGCAAATCATTGCAAGTCTCTTCACTGAGAATGTCACAAAATGATTTTAAAAAAAAGAATATTTTGAAGAAAAAAGTCAAATTCTGAGAAAAAAATGCATTGTGGGATATGTAGTTTATGGGCAACGTGCTTCTGTAAATCGGCATGTAACCGTATAATAAAAATATTATATTCTTTGCAAGCTCTTGTGGGGCCACATTAAATGAAGTCGCGGGCCGGATTTGGCCCCCGGGCCTTGAGTTTGACACCCCTGTCTTAAACCATTGCTGTCAGTCATTTGGACTGAGCCTTGGCCTTAGTTATTACTGTGTCTGCACTACACACAGCATATGCTAATACTGGACTATAAATCATTCCAATTTGATGGACCCACGTGATCCGACGCATGCATTGCTCTGCACTTCAGAACGATGCATGTGACACACACGCCCAGTATCCAATAACCTAATCCTTTTAAACAGACCCTCCCCCCTGATGAAAGCCACCGTATGTCACCATATAGAGCTGACTAATGAGGCGGCACAGAGACAATACCCTTTACCCACAAGGTTAATACGTTATTACTATATAGCAACAAAGCATGTGTTCATCATTCAGCTTGTTTCTGCAACTCTAAGGTGGCAAATCTGGTATCAGTAGACATCACAAATATTGGCACTTAAGTTCAAGCAAATACTTTAAGTAATATTTTAAATGGATGACTTGTAATTATTAATGAATAATAATAAAAGTAATAATAAATAATCATAATAATGCTATAATAAATACTAATAATAATAATAATAATGAAACACAGCAAGGCTTTTCAATATGATCTTCTTTGAACTAATATAATAATAAATGCAATATTTTTTTATTTTCCTTTTATTGTCTTTCCTGAAGCAGTTTGAGTCCCTCATCAGATTTAGAAAGCTTCTTCACGACATGGTCTTACTGTGCTGGAAGTAATCAGTGTATCTGGTGTCTACTTCCTACAATAAAGATCTGAAAGCCCCCGTCTCCCACAGCTGCATGATTAACAGTGAAAATCAGTGCAGCTGATTGCAGCATCAATGCAGCCATTGTTAGTAAATGTCAGCGTTGTACGTATTCCATGTGAATGGAGTTGAAAGTTAAGCAAAACAGTAAACATCCTTGTCATGACTTAAAAACCTGCAGAACGCAACAATAGTCCAAAAGAAACGTCTGCAGAGAGAAATCATGTGCGATGCAAAAGTGCTCTGCATTCAGAACTATTGTTATTCCTCTCCATGGTGGGCACACAAGTGTTGCCCCTTAATTTGGTTCTGAATGGCGGAGACTGGTGACAAAGCAGCGCTACTTTTCCAAATCAAATCTCATGGCTCTACTTTCTGCGTGATTACACAATAACTCTGAGCTGACTGATTTTCTACCTCCAGAAAATGCTGCCAGTGTCACTGAATAGAGAATTGTTGGATTGGTGCTGCCCGTTTCTATTCACGGCGACCGCCACAGCAAAGGGGGAGAGTGATGAATAGTAATAGCCAAAACCTCTTAGAGTTGAGCTTATGAAACACATGGAGACCTGTGCTGGGTGCTCAAGACTACATTATTCTCCTGTCTACTAAATCATTTGTGTTTAAGCTAAATTAAACATTTCCGGAAAATATCAGCTCCTTTCTTTCAGGAATATGTTTTTTAAAGTCCCACTTGCTCTTCTTTACGTGCTCCAAGAAAGTCGCTTTGCCATTTTAAAATATGTCTGGCCAAAGACAACCTTGACGTTAATAACAATTCCTGCCAATGTGAGGTAGGAAGCCAGATATTTCACCACATTATAGAAGTCATAAATCAAACAACCATCAGGCAAGTGGAAAAGGAAGATAGTGGGAGGACCGCAGCTTTTTTCTATATTGTTATAGAGGACTATCCCTTTCCTCAGTCTTCTTGTGCTGAATTACTGTCCATTCTCTTTCATCTCACTCGTTGCTCAGAAAGAAGGACTTGTGAGGAAAGACAAATAATCGATTTAACAATTGCACCTCATAGCTTACTGTCCCCCAGAGGAGAATAAAGAAATAATTTAGCATATAAAACCTCACGCTGTTAGATGCTCTGTGGACCAAGGAGCAGTGCCCTTGTGGCCATAGATGAGAGAGACTTCATTAGAAATCCCCAGAGGAGGACTTTCAAATAGCCTCATTCGTGCCCACAGGGTCTTCAGAGGATATTATTTACCCGCACTATTTTACTCACACTACTAAACGGATAAAGACTTTCTCACAAACTCTTTCTCAAGTCAAAGGCAAAGCAAAAAAAAACACCAATTTAAATTCGATAGTTAAGAGGAGAGCAGTATTTCTCCACTTACCTTAAAACGCAGGAATAATACCCCACATCGCCCAGCTCTGCAGGTCGAAACCATATGGCGTCCTCCTCTTTGCTCATCCTCGTGCCGTCAAAACTGATGGGTTCCTCGAAGTCCCCGTGTCCTGCACTTTTGTACCACATGAGGCTGAGTCCAGCGCTCTGTGCATGGGTGTAGTTGGCCCGAATATATCCATAGAATAAAGCGCACTTAATCCGTACAGGTTCCCCCAGAAGCACCTTGTATTTCAGGTAGTCCACTGACCAATCTGTGCAGCCTTCCACTGAAAGAAAAGGACAGAAGAAAGGGGAATTACTTTAAAAAGTCCGTCTCTTCATGTGCTTTGCCAGCAATCCTTGTATCACAATGAATCCAGAAGCTCTTTTCCCTCCATGCAGCACTAATACACAAGGTCTCCTCGTTAGCTTTTTTTTTACAAGAACACACACATATGTTCATATACACACCTTTAACATACTGAATTGAATTAAAAGCTCATTTAAAAAAAGGACAAAAGCAGGCAGGCTAAATCCACTCATTGTGCAGCACCTGACCCTGCCTTCACCTACTACAAACATCCCTGTATTTATATTTGACACTTGTGTCACTATCTCACACATGAATCGACTATTTACTGGCAATAAACCGTGTGTAAGCCTCCGTCAATATCTGTTTGAATGGCACTCATCTACATTTGACCTAAGGAAATCAGAGGCTGCAGTAAAGCGGCATTCAGACCAGTCATATAAATGAAAAAATGAAAAAGCAGCTCGTCTCATACTGTGCTGCGGCACATGCCAAGGTGGAGCAATGGGGGTCTTCCTGATAAGAAATCTAATAAAGCGCACCAACTGTCAATCAAAAAACGTTTCAGACATTGAATAATAATAACTGCCTTATTCATGCACAGCAAGCAAAGGGATGGTTTGGATCCCCAGATGTTTTATTCCCATCTTTGGGAGCGTATGAGATTCATGCGAAATCTAAAATTGGCCCTTCATTTTGATCAATTCTTACCAACTCCAGGGGTGCTGATTGAAAAGCAAATAATAACAATATAATAAAGGAAATGCAAATAATAAAATAGAAAATAATCAATAAGATGTTTTTAAATTAAGTGTATTATTATTATTATTATTATTATTATTATTATTATTATTATTATTATTATTATTATTATTATTATATTAAGTGCTTTTTAGTAACATTGCAACCCTGCTAGTAATCCCACATGTTTAAGAAATGTACCATTAATCAGATTTCTTTATATAAATGTAAGGGGTACAGTTATCTTTTTTTGTATCCTGATTATCCGTTACCTTTAATACGTTACTCCCCAAGCCTGATAGTGAGTGAAAGCAAGTGTGTGTATGAAGGATACAATACATTTGGGTGTTTTTTAAAAGGTGGTAAAAACCCAACTTCAGATAATTTGTGGCCTGCCTCAAGAATCAGGATTAGCCAGCTATCTGTTAGTTTAACTTCCTGTGTTAGGATTGTTGCACCATTTCAACTGGAGTAAATCAATGAGGTAACATGTTGTACAGCTAACCTGCTGATGGGCATCAAGGGAAGCAGATAAAAGGACCTTTGCAATAAAAATGACTTCTGACCATAACAGCCTAGTGAATGGTTCTAAATAAATTCCCAACCAGATTCCTGACAGAGATCTGTAGTGAAAGCTTTTCCATCACTGCAAATCAGCTTTTGAAACTTTAATTAAAACATATATTTCTCTCTGCTATTAAACTTACATTTTTATATTTTTGGAAAAACCAGCTGGTCCAACACCAAATCAAAAACCAACTCTCTTGCTTCATCTTACCTTATCAATTTTCCCCTTCCTGTTCCTGACATCCTCTTTTCCCTCGCCTCACCTCCCTGCATCACTCTTCCTTTAAAAACAGCTGGCGAGCACAGCTGCAGCAGACTCAACAGGCTGCGCAAATTGAGCCTCTATAAATGTTTTATTTACCAAAGAAGCAGCTCTGCATCCAATCAGCGAGGTGCAGTGTGTGCTGCAGTCAGCGGGGTGACTGGGGGGGTGTGATGGTGGGGGATTGATTGAACCATGCTGGTGTTGTGTTGGATTGTGTGGTACTGTATGTGTACCATGCTGGGGACACAAGCAAAAACACTGGTAGGTGCTGGAAAAAAGATGATAGAGGGGAAAATCACGAGGTGTTTATGCTATTAGAAAGAGTGACTGGGAGATATTGCAATAGAAACAAAAGAGAGAAATATTAACGTTGAATTTTCTATACATTTTAAATAAAATTAAGGGGGCCTTAATTGCTCATTTCTGTATTTGTTGCTTCTACTGTGCCGTGTTTATTTGTCAGCTTATGTAACCTATGTGCAACATCTGCAGCACCTTTCCTGATGCGCCATGAATCAGCAAGAATGAGTGGTGAGAATTAAATCAGATACAATGCTTTGAAATCAACGCCAAATCTCGTTTTGGTTTTGTAACAATGAAGTGGGTCCTTCCAGGAGCAAGACAATGAAACACAAGGAAAAACTAGACAAAATCAAACCAAGCAAATACAAGAGCTGGAGAAGGTGAGGTGTTCTATGCAAACAACCACAGTCCTTTCATTTGTGATTAAGTCTACATGTTGCTATGGCAACAGAGGGTTCTACCACCGCTCATTGAGAACTTGTTAATTCGTTTTGTGGGTGTGTGATAATAATAACTTGAAGGATTAAGGTAAAGACAACCCAAGCCAAGGTGGTTTCACTTCTAATCATGTGTCCTAATTCAGAATCTAAAATGTTTCCCTCATAAAACATATAAATGGTTGTTAAAATAATGAAGTTAATCCAAGAGTTATACCTAATGTTGATCAAGTAATACACATTTCCCACTACAGGGCAATATATGATATCATGCAAAATATTACAAATGCACCTGCATAGTATATTAAGTAAAAACAACGAAACATACTTTAAAGGTGGGGTAGGTAAGTTTGAGAAACCGGCTCGAGATACACTTTTTGTTATATTCCATGGAATGCTCTTAACATCCCGATAGCAATGAATATCTTAAGTGCTTTGACAAGAAATCCATACAAAAATGTCATCTGTGGAAGCCGTGGCGCTGTAAAAAGCACGACCAATCATCTGAGCCGGCCCGGCTAAAGTAACTGGATGGCCTACCTGCCTGTCAGCCTTCCATCTGTGCACACACTTATCTCGTGCCCTCATTGGTCATGTGCGCGTTCGTGTGTGTTGGAGGAGGGGCTCTGTAAGGAAGTGGCAGATTTCTTCCGGCTGTGTATTTTCAAATTCTAGCGCACTCGAGCCGGTTTCTCCAAAATGACCTACCCCACCTTTAAATGGTGATCTTTGGATTAAGTAATTACATTTCATGCATGCTCGATCCTTCTAATACAAGCCTGATTAAAAGAGATTTAAAAAAATGAAATGGTTGATGACTAGTGGAAACGTATAACATGTCGGTCTACTCAGCAGGGAATCACTGCCAGATAAAGGATGATTTTTAAAGCACCCCGAGGCATTTGATTACTGCACAGGATGTTCGAACAATATCCCCACAGTGTCACTGAGAAGTTCAAGAAAAATAAAGAAAAGGGTGAACTCCAGCCCAAGTCGCTCAAAGGGCTTGCTGTATTTATCTCTAATACCGCCACGAGGAGTTTGCCAGCGCCAGTATCTGTTATCTTCCACGTATCCTCAAATTACCCGTTGCAGACTTTTGACGGAGGGTTATGTTTGTCTCATTTGTCCAACTGGTGCTTTTAATTGATTCACATCTTAAACTGCACTGTAACTTTTATCTTTTAATGTTTCTTTTATTATCTTTTCTTTTTAATGATTGATTTTAAATGCCATTTTCTTAATGTCTTTCGTTTTTTGTAAAGCACTTTGAATTGCCTTGTGTTGAAAGGTGCTATATAAATAAACTTGTCTTGCCTTATCATTCATTTCAGTAAGCTAGGGTGGGGATTCTGCTTAATCTGTTGGCGGGAAACAAACATGCGACAAAGCCTAATTGAACTCGATTAACATTTCCCTGCTCACCAGATTTCCATTCTGCTGGATCACAATTGGTGGGGGAATTGGCCAATCTGCTGTCTGATAATAACAACAGAAGCAGCTCGGCAGCGGCGGGGGGGAACACCGAGCAGAAGCAGCGTTTGAGGCTTTGTTACACATGGCCCGTAACCAGTGGTGGATTGAAACTAAGTACATTCTGCTTTGGTGTAGTTTTTGGGTTACTTTACTTGATTATTTCCATGTTATGATACTTATTTCACAGCCTATATGAATACTGATTGGTTAGCTGGCTGGCTCTGTTGTGATTGGTCAACCACTTAAAGATGTCCCACCCCTTAGCCTATCACATACAATGTGTCGGAGCGCTAGCCAATAGACATGGTGATGTCCACCTCTACCCATAAATACAAAAAGTGGTGATTTCTTTGTTGTTGGTCCTAAATGGGTCCATACAGTTCTGTTTGTCAGCTGGAAAAAAGTAACTCTCAGATGTCAGCTACCAAATGGTCAAAGTACAAATGTTTGCTCGTCGCTATGCATGGAATTAGGATTTCATAGAGCATATTCACTGACATCACCCCGAAATGGGGTCCTCTAGCCATATCCCGATTTAACCACGCCATTAAACAAAGACAGGGCCATTTGTCAGGCCTGCCTTGTGTTCATGTTTTTCATGTTTGTCTCATTTGTCCAACTGGTGCCTCATTTACAATAAAGGCTTTCATCCTCATGTTTAATGCCAAAACTAAACCAAGGAAGTGATTTATATGAAAAAGCAAAAACAACTTGTGTTTGATGCCAAAGGTAATTGGCTGCATAGATTCATTTTTTTATGTTAAAATGTATTCATATAAATAATAACCCAAGGTTTAATGAAAATATGGAGCAAAGTAAACAAGAGTATGCCTTTTAAGAAGGTCTTTTGAGTCTTAAAGCTGATTAAACTTACAAAATATACATATTATATACCATTATTTATATATGTATTATTTCACTCTTGAAAGGATCACTCTACCTCAAGTCAACACTCACTTATTTTGTTTATAGAATGTAAAATGCTTTAATATGCATATGGTTTTATAGATATTGCATCTATAGGCCTGGGCAAAATGTATTAAAAAAAAAATGTGTTAGCTGAAACGATGCAAAGCAGATGCGACCAAGATGCTCGTAAACATGCATAAAAAGAAATTCTAGTATTTAAAGGGCACCTCAATAAAGCTAAACAAATGTTATGTCACTGTCTGCATTTTACTGTCAATT